TTCAGCAGCATCCGGGCACCGGCTGTGACAGGGTGGCAGCGGGCAGAGGGGACTGACGCTGGCACACGGAGGGACACCAACCGCTCCCGGGGACACCGCTGACTGTGGCTCGCCCTCCCCAGGCTGCTGTGAACGCCCTCCCCACGTTCGGCAGAAGTGCTCTAAAAGCTTTATTATCAGAAGCAGCAGATACAGAGCACAGATAGGAAAAATAAAAAGTCCCCACCCATGCGGCGTATTTAAAAAGCTGCACCCAATGCGCTCTGAGCAATCCGCTGGGAAAAGAAAACAATGCAGCAGGGAGGGAAAACGCAGGGTGTTTCGGTATTTTCACATCGTATTTTTGGGCACAGGCACGTTGCAAGTAGCTGCCTATTTTCTCAAGGTCACTCTGCTGATTTTAATTCTGCTCATTGTATTAAGACTGCCCGTCTATGTAAATGTTGCATTTTGTTCTCCTCCTGTTTCTGGCCTTTCCTCAATTAACATTTTCAAATAGTCCCACAAGACTTGAAGCACTACCTGCTAATCACTCCGTTCATGCATTCTGGGAGGCAAAAGGTTTTTGGTTTCATCAGCTGAGTAGATTCATAAGCAAGAACTTATTCACGGCATTTAGGGTTTCCTTCCATTCACAGATCATCAGGATTTTTGCTAATTTATCTGTCGCTCAAACCGGCTGCTCAGCAGTGACAATAAAGATGGCAAACTGAAGGCATATTAAAATGACCTCACTGTCTTCTCAATGCAGCTTCGGCTGTGAAGATTACATTGTCTGCTTCTAATGCAAACACTCATCCCAGCCGAGCCCCTGCCTACTGACTTCCCACACATGCAACAGAACCGTTATCATAATTAAAAAAATATATCTTGAATGTTTGCACCATTCTTGCTTTAAGGTTCCTGAAGAACCTTTCAGAGATGAGAAAGGTTCCATTGATTCACTTGGCACTCTCCAATACTACTGTAGTCTAATTGCATTAAGTTATTGATACTGTTCAGTACTAGGTGAATGGGAAAACTTCTCTTTTTGAGATAGTGCCTGTTAACTGAAGCTCTATGGGAGGGAAATGCCCAGCTTGCTGCTGCTGGCTGGGCTTACTTCTAGCCCTGGGTGCCACACCGATACCTTCTACAAGGCCAACACTGCCAGCTCCCACCCTCCTGTGTCTCTGCTTTCCCATCCGAGGCACCTGGCTATCAGCCCCTGGTGATCTGCAAAGCCATCATTTAGAGCATCCCAGTGATTTCAGGAGGTTTGGCTAACATTTGAAGAGCTATCGAATACCTTCTGTATACAGGTGTCACGGCAAACGCTAACCTTCCTCCTGCACGCCTCTCCCTGCAGGTGCTGTTCCTGTCCAGCACAGGGTGTCGGGGCCGCCTGCCCTCCCCTCGCCTCGCACAAGGAGGGTGTGCAGCAGCCTGAACGTTTCCATCCATGTCTCCTCTTCTCACTGCCTGTATTAAAGCTAATTGAAAGGAGGCTAGATAAATTAAGAAGGTCAAAAAGGTCTGGCTACACAAGGCTCCCTCTGGGAAGAGGGAATTAAATAATTTGTTTTTACGTTAGCTATAAAGACAAGATACAAATGAGCATTACAAATCCACTGTCCTTTACAATGTACTTTTAAGTTGGCATTTACCTTAAAGTCTGCTTGTGTAACTGGAGACTTTCAAACTAATTGCTGCGCTGTGTTTGCAACCTTTACTGGAGGTTGGTGGGATTTTTTTTTTCTTATTATTATTGCATTTGTTTGTTAAACAAGAAAATAAAAATGTCAAGCCATCTCCCGAGTGCTGCTGGCAAGCCGAGCCTCTCCCCTTCTTCAGAGAAAGCATTTGCACACATCTATTCCTTAGGTGCGTCCTGGCCAGTGCAGCTGTTCGCTCTTTCTCCTCCTCTGGATGTAATTTTCATTACTGGTATAAAATTAAGCAATAAGGTATGACAGACAGTACATAGCTGGGCAATTATTCCAAGCCTCAGGTGGCGTTATACAGCATGAGGCTGGGGGCAGAATGACTGTAACCACCCGAGACGTCCAATAATCGCCTTGAAAAGCGTGGCCAGGAGCCTGATTTGCTATTCTGCAACGGGGTCTGCTGGGACGCAGGGCTCATACTGGCGTGAATGCATTTATCCTTACACTTCACGTAAGGTGCCCTGATGCAGCAGCAATAGCCGCTGGCCAGGAAATTAGAAGAGAGGGGAGACGGCTCCAAGATTTGGCAGCTTTTCCTTTTTGCTTTGTGTTCACTGACACACAACCGCTGAGCAGCACCGAGCGCATCGCGCCTGGGGGGCTGGCGTGGGGCCTGCCGAAGGCACCACCCGGCTGCAGCCACCCCTGCCCGGGGCACGGAGCACTCACAGTGCCCCTGACGGGCTCCGAGGTGAAGGGGAAGAGATCAAAGCCAGATGGGAACGGGTGGGACATGGACCCAGAGCCGGGCTGCCACCACGAGCCCTTCCTCGCGCGCCAGCCGCAGCCACCGCGGCGTCTCCTCCTGCCCACCTGGGCTGGGTTTGAACTCGGGATACAAAGCAGAGAGCTGTGAATATTCTTCTTCAGCCTTGCAGTCATTAATGTGTTTTACAGCATGAATATTTATAAGTGAGGATGTAATATTAAAAGCATACACACATGAAATATTAATATGGCACATGTCATAACTGCAATCTAAACAGATAGGTGTGAACGATGGCACTGTAGCTCAGCCATCACTGCTTTCACTGATAGGTCTGTAAATGGTAAATAATATTAACTAATTAATCTTCACAGCCCTCCTCTGAAGTTTTGAAGCAAATATTTGCTTTAAAGTCGCTATGAAAAGCCCTGTCTGCAGCTACTCTTCTGTGCCTCCAGCAGGAGACAAACTCGCTGCGTTTAACCAGGGGTTAAAGTCGGGCTGGGTGCTGCAAGGCGCGGGTCCCCAGGATGAATTCCACCGGCGAGGGAACGTGTGTACGGATGAGCCGAAGCAGGGCGAGCGCTTCTCTCCAAACAACTGCACTCTCTGGAGTCCCATTTATGGAGTGATAAAATCGACAAGGGAATAAAAGCCAGTCTCATCTAGGAGAGCAATAATAATAACACCACCTCCATTTACGTCTTATGTCACACTTCTCATCCGAAGCTCTTAAAGCACTTTGTGCACTAAAAACACCGCCACCATCATTGTGGATGCTTTTCCGAAATCCTGCGGGTCAAACCCGGCCAAACAGGAGCTCTCCCTTCAGCCCCATCCTTCTAAAAGCAAAGCTCTGTGAGCAGACAAAAGGTTTCCTCCCGCGCCTCCCTCCGAGCGCACGGTACCACTGGCACACCGCTGCCAAGAAAAGCTACGCTGAAAATGACCAAATTAGGCAATTACTTCCACGTATCTTAAACACTCTCTGCTCAAAACTGCTTGGAGATGTGTTTTTATATGCACATGACCTTGCTTTATTTGAGGGAGACAGCGATAAACAAATAACTGCAGTGACTCTTAATTATATTTATATCTCATCTATAAAAATGTCAATTATAACTTCAGAGGTCAACTACGAAACGGAGGTTTTGGCAGTCGGACAACACAAAAGGCTATTTTTCTCCTAAGAAAAGCATCATCCTTCGCTGTGGCACAGACAATATCTCACTAACATCACTCCTGTCTCTTCCCATAAACGCAGCGATTATGCCACCCGCTTCCACCTGGACAATTACCCCGATGCGCTGCGATCCGCCAGATCCGCGCGGCACAAGCACCGGGCACAGCGCTCACCTCTGCCTCGAGAGGAGAACGTGGCGAGGAAGCGGCGGAGCTGTGTGCGTGCCTGGAGGGGCACGGGCAGCCACGCCACACTGGTGAGGCAGGCACGGGTCTTTTGGTTTGGATTCTGCAGTTTTAGATCAATGCCCAGGGCTCTCCTCTCCTGGGCACGCTGCTCTCTGCACCGAAGGCACCAGGCGCCCGGCGCGGCACCGCCAGCGGGTCTGCAGCAGGGCAAGACATTGGGGGGTCTGCCACGATAAACGCCCGTCTCCTGGAGATGGGTTAAGCCCAAACACGTAGGATATTGTCTGCATCGCACAGACAGCCTGTCTTTCGTTAATTTTGTTTAGTTTTAAAATTAAAGAAGCCCAAATCACATGCTGTCACTTCTCTCCTCTCTCCCCTGCCATTCCTAGCCATGTGAGAGAGTTAATTGATATGAAAATAACTCTGGGGGCTGCATGGCTCGGAAAAACATATAGCATTACATTTAATACCAGCAATTACAACTTGGGGGATTCAATCAGTCACAATCTTTATTTTTCTTCCTGCACTCTCAAGACGCGGGACTGGCGTGGCAGCCGCAGCCGATGGCTTCTGAGGCAGCAGATGGGCAAGGCAAGCACAGCCCAAAGCAGGCACATGCCCGTGGAGAGCATTTAAGGATCAAGAGCATCCCATCACATTAACTAAGCGATACATCACCTTCTCTTGACTCTCCTCTACCTACGTGCTCAACAGTCACAGAAAGAAAGGGGAGAAGGGGGAGTTGCCAAGCGAATTTATCAATCAGGAGCCACTCCACCCCGCTGCACTTCCCTTCCTGCTAAATTGGAACAGCCAGGGGAGGGCTGAGCCCGCTCCTGCACCCCTCGGTTCAGGCACCTTTCATCTGACACTTCCTCCCTCCCTCCTCCGAGCAGCCCCGCCGGCTGCAGCGTTTCTGCTCAGCTTTGATGGGTACAACAAACGAGGCTCCTGCTGCCGGGAGCTGCGGGTCACCCGGCACGGGGAAAAGCACAAGGGCGAGGAGGGCGGCGCTCCGATCCCGATCCCTCCGCTCCCTGCAGCCCCTCCAGCTCGCAGCAGATCGGTGTGCCTGCTAGAGCTCTGCTACATAATGAAGTTAGAAGGACATCATCATCTTGCAAGGCTCCCTCTAACCCCAAAGATCAATAACTAATGTTGAACTCCAGATTTTATCTGCACTTTGCAAGGGTAACAAAATAACACCACCCTCTTTTTTTTTTTTTCTCCTTTCCAATTACTAAATCCTTTCAAGATTGACCCAGTAATTTTCAGCTCTATGAAATTTTAGGCAGTGAAGAAAGTGATGAAAGTGATTTTCCAGGGTGTTTACGGAACTTTTGTGTGCTTTTTAATCCCTGCACAGAAATGCCGAAGTACAGCACAAGGTGCAGAAATACAAAATTACCCTTTCTAAAAAGAAATGTCACCTTAACAAAGCCGACTCAGAGCCACTAAGTGCTAGTTCTTTGCATCCCTGCTATCAAAATTAAATGACCGAGCTAGGAAGAGAAGCCTTGCAAGATGACACTGTCTCCCAGTAAAGCCTGAGACTGTTTTACTCCAAGAAGTAACCACCTCTCCCATTAAATGTGCACAGAATTTGGAGCCTCCCATTAGTGTGGCTAGACAGATGAGCACAAAATGCAGTAACGCTCTTATTTTCTTTAGAGAACTTCCAGGAACGGTTGGACATCGGAAAAGAAAAAGACATCGACAGAAGGAACAAAATGGTTACCTTGATGACATTTAAAATGTTCTCAGAGTTGTGTTCCGCTGGCAAGGCCAACGTTTTATTTGGGGTGAGGCTTTCAAGCCTTCCCAAGGCATTAATAAAAGCCTTCAGTGAAGAGCAGTTTGGAAGAGGCTTCTTGCTCTGTCTGGTTAAATCTGCACATTAAATCCAGCGAGTCCTGACGTGGATCCCGTGCCACGCTCACAGACAGGTTACCTGCTCTCAGGGTACACACACGAGCAGCACACACGTGCCAGCAGAACGCCAACAAACACTCTCAATTTGCTTGCAAGGAAATTTATCTCCCTCCTAGCAGTAGGGAGCGAATTTTAATACTTTTCCTTTCCCTTGCCTACGTTGATTATTCTAGGCATACACTAACTACAGTAAACCACAGCGGATATTTTATCTGCCATTTCTCCTTCCCCTGGCTAATTTGAAGATACAGATTGCAACCCGCAAGTGGTTTTAAGAATTGCCATTAACACCGCTGCTTGCATGCTACTGCATTTTAAACATGTTTTCAACACAATCAGAATGTCACAATTTGTAAAATCTGGGGTGATTTCATAAACGATCGATGCAGCAGAACTCGCTTCATGATGACAGCCTACTAGCCAGTTCATTAGCCTGATTAGTGGCAGCTACCTGCACGGAGAAGGAAAAAACGTCTGAGAAGACTGGCGAAATTCAAACACGAGCATAAAGACAACTCCCTGGCTTAGCTTTCGCTTTGTTACCCTTGCTTCTTCCTTCCACCGCTCACTGGCAGAGCTGAAGACCCAGAGCTCGGTCTCTGGTGCCTGTGGGGAAGCTGCTCCAGCCCCAGCGGTGCCACTCAGCACCACGCCGGGCTTGGTGCTGCCTGGGTCTCCTGATGCTGCTGATGAGATGAAGATGAGGCACGAGGGCAGCACCTGAGAGCTCTGGGCTACTCCCCCCCTGCTCCCCAGGCTCTCAGCACTGCCTCACACCTTTTATCAGGCTCCAGATCCAGTGCGTCCCATTTGGATGCATGTCCCAGAGAGAGTTTTTCCCCTGTTCTAACTCCGGCCCCTTCCCTGCAGCCTCACCACGGAGCTCCCTGAGCTTTACCATCACCAGAGAGAGACACTGCAGAGCCTGATGATCCTCCCGAACGGAATTCATTAGACTGACCAGAAAGGTCACCTCCAAAAAGAAAACCCACACGAGATTTGGCTTTACATGCCGAGCAACCCTTCCTCTGTACACCTGCAGGACAGAGGGAGCCACCTCGAACACAAAGAGCTCTGCTGATTTAGCACGGCTGAATTTAGCCACATGGGTCATCGCTGCTGACACTGATTTTTGGCTGTGCTCACCATGCAGAAGCTGCCACGAAATGGGACGTCTGAGCTCCCGTTCCCTCTTACCTCTATGCCTGTTGGTCGTCTTGTCAAACATAAGCATGGCGTCCTCTACCTGCAAGACACAAGAGGGGAGAGGCGTGCTTTAAACCCCGGCTGCACAGTTCACAAAGCACAAACACACTGGGAAGGGGGGGCACGGGCAGGAGCAGCCTCAGGTCAGGTAGATATAAGCAATGCATCAGATCTCCTTCCTTGGCTCAGGGTCAGCACTGCCTTTTGGAAATCTGCTGCTTTCAACACGTGCTAGCTGACATTTGATCCTAACACAGAAAAGTGAACGTTAAAAGTTCTGTTGCTCTGGAAAGCCAAACATCTAAGCAGCTCCTCCATCCCGCATCGGTCCCTAGCCATGCCCCTTCCCAGCCTTTTTCCCTTTTGTAGAGATAAAGAAGGACCAAGAGAGGAATTGAGGATGCAAATCACACCCACGACTTCTCCAAATTAGAGTCACTGTCTTGGCTGAGAATTAGGAGGTTTCAAGGAGCATGAGCAGGGTAAAATCTGGTCAGCCAAAAAAGGTATTCAGAGGTTTTCAAAAGGCCTTTTGAAAAGCTAGAGGAAAGAGGGGAGAGGGAGGAGGGACAAAGTTTAATTCGCATCAGGCTTGGCATTTCCACTTCAGAAGAGAGATGACTGATGAAACGTACTGAAGTGCAACCAAATTGCTTTCAACTTTCATTACTATTTGCATGATTTATTCCACCTCCATTTAATCCGTGCAGCCACACCTAAAATTTTACACTTATTTTAGCAGACTGTTGTGCTGGGATTTATTTTCCAGCACCATCACATTTTAAGATGTTGCTCTGAGTCTCCCGGGGCTGGTGCAGGTCAGTCCTGCACACCGCAGGAAAGGTCCTGTGCAGCCTTCCTGAAAAAACTTCCAAAAAAACGTACAGCCTTCCTATTCCTCGTTTTAAACCAGGGGTTGACAAGAACCTGCAACACTGCTTAATTGAAGAAAACACTGGGGGAAGGTCATCTTGTTAAGCTTTTTTTTTCCCCTTTCCCCCTCAGTAACTTCGATGAGATTTTCACGCTTTTATATTATGGATCTCTATAAATCATTTATCTCAGGAAAAGCGACTGACGATGTCGTTACACCCTCTCTTCACCTAGCGCAGTGCCACCAAAGGGTCTCCCTTTCACCCCAGCAGCTTGTGCGCATTCGGTGCTGACCTCTTGCTTCCTGCCAACGTGTTCATGCAGCACATCAGGCCGGGGAGCAGCCCCAGCTCTGCGGAGCCGCAGCTTCTCCTCCAGCATAGCTCAAGTCCCGTGGGTGTCCCTGCACTGACGGGCTGCTGCGGAGGGCAGAGGAGCAGCAGCTCGTGCCAAGGTGGGATCGCTTTGGGTGCCCGTGCCAGATTCTGCTGCCTTAACACGGTCTTGGAATTAGAGCAGGATTTGAAAGCTCCCACCTGGTTAAAATTCCCGGCTCGGGGAGTCCGGTTTGCCTGGAGGGTTCCTATGCAGGGGAGCACGCACTCAGCCTGCTGCTGGGCTAAATTACGGTATCAGCCTTGGCTGAGCAGAGACTGATTTGGGGAAGGTGGTAAAAACACAGCTTGAGCCTCTCTTAACTACTGTACTAAAACACATTCCACGATATAATAAAAAAGCAGTGCCGCAAAACCTTACGGTGTACCTGGAGGTTATTAAAACCTGTCTCTGGTTAACTTGTTCGGAACTTTTCCAGAGCAGTTTGCAGAATGTGATAGCAACACCCTGAGACGGAGAACAGCACGCCTCCTGAACACCCATCGTGAACGAGACCCAGAGATGCTGAGGCACTGAAAACTCCAAACCACATCAAGCACAAAGCCATTTGTCCTGCTGTCTTCCTTCGCTTTGAAGAAGAAAACTCACAAGTCTGAGCACTGTCGGAAGGCAGATAAGGACAGGGCTCCCCTTCACCCTTCCAAAACCACTTATCTCTGCTCTGAGGTTCCGCTGCTGCAGCAATCTTTATCTTTCATTCCCGCAGGTCCTGGCCTCGCTGGGAACCAGAATTATGCCCTGCACCCCGTGCTGCTCCCTGCGGCTCTGTGGCAGCCTCAGGCCAGGCAGGCTGCTGACCACCCTTTACCCAAATGCTCTGTTCCACGAGCTTTACCAGGCGGCTCGCCCCCACCAAGTCCTTGCTTCGAGTCCCACCTCAGAGCCCCAAGAAACCCCCAAGGTCTTTGGAGGTCCCACTGGCATCTCCCCCTCCAGCAAACAGGGTTTTGTGCCATGCGTACCCATGCCCTGCTCTGCCAGCATGGTGATCTTGGCAGGGATCTTTTTTACGCAAATAAACCCTTATTAGCAGTAACAAGCCAAGGCTGAGGGGCTAAGCCAGGAGATTTCTGTGGGGCCGGCCAGGACCCCGAGGAGCGCGGCTCCCCCTGCACCCACTGCTGGGGCCGGAGCCGGGCGCACAGCTCCATGGGGAAGGCTCAGACCCAGGGTTCAAACCCAGAACCTGGCAGGGGGGAGCTGGCTCCCCGCAGCTGAGCTTCAGCTCCGGCCCGAGCACGCCCTTAAGAAAAACTAATCAGGGGGGTGTTCGTCAGGCCAGCTGGTGCCCTTTCAACAATGTCTAATTGGTTATCTTTTCTGTCTCCTAAGGTCAGAACATTTTATCTCCGTCTCTGCCCTTTTTGAGTTTACCCCACCCTGCGTTATTTTTTAGGGCAGCCATTGTACCAGAAGAATAGCCTCTTTCCTCTATAGTCCAATGACACAATGAGACTTCTTGAAACCTCCTGAATAGATAGAGTGCAACGGCAAAAGAAAAATTCTATTAACGCTTTGCAAAATAAAACATCTAAGAGCCGGTTAGACAAGCAGGAGAAGAAAATCAATATGGAGAGGGCAGCGCGCTTAGAAAAACTTTTCACCAGTTGCAAAAAGGTGGTGAGGGTATGGGAGGGAGGGGGAGAAAGAAACTTATTAATGCAGAAAGCCCATCAATGGTATGGAAATCTGGCAGAACAGCAAGAACTGAAACTAGAAGAATTTGAATATACAAAGGGCTGAATAGAATGAGAAAACCACACTGCCTCACACACGCAGCCCGTTTCTCACGGTTCTCCGTGAATCAAACACAAGCGGCTTGTTCAAGTTTTCATCAAGGAGAAAGAAGGGACACAGTCAAGGTAACCGGCAGTAAACCCTGTAGTAAGCAAATTGATCCCTATTTCAAGGGAAGAAAAACAACATAGATGCAACTCAATGAAACTTGAGCAGGCTCAGGAGCTGCGGCTGCCCAGCAGTTAACCCCCTCCTCCACGAGCAGGTTCCTTTGCTTGCCCGGTGTTTTAAAGATGCTCCAACAGCGAGTTTTCCAGACCTCACCTCACAACATGCAGCTCACGCCTTGCTGACAGAAAAGAAGGAAGTTTTCTGCAGGGGCAGAACCAGGACTGGAGACAATCCCAGCTCCGAGGCTTGGCAGGGATGCGCCCAGGACTATTTGCCTACCGCAGACCCCAAGGGCCAAAGAGGACACAGCCTCCGTACCTCAGGCAGGGGAGTCAGAGCACAGAGCTTCACCCCAAAGCAAGATCAGCCACCTGCAGCAACTGGCAGGGGTTTTACAGGGCCTGGGCAGCATTTCAGACCACCTCTGCAGCACCCAGTGCTCCTGGAAGCCGGGGTAATTTCAGCCCCGTGTGCTTGAGCGGCAGCCCCGGCTCCCCACCAGAAGCAGAGGACTGCTGGTGGCAGAGCTGCCCTCCTCATCCCCATCCCCATCCCCATCCCCATCCCATCTTCAGCCCCGTGGCCTCAGCCCCCAGCCAGCAGCCGGAGCCCCTGAGGGGCTGCCTGTGACAGCAGACCATGAGGATGCCCCGCAGCATGGAGCCAGTGGTCAGGAGCACCGGGCAACCCCAAAACGGGTTCCTATCCTCCAACGCACTCTGGCTCAACGTGGAGGCTGAAAGGAGCTGATTAATCCTAAGTAATAATGAGCATCAAATGGGAGAGTATTATAAAATAAACACAAAGTCTTTGCACTCAGGGCAAAGACAAGACAGACGGACCTGCCAGATAATGCCAGGAGCAAACGGACACTTCCTAAGTCTGGAATCCTTCTCCCCTGTCCCTGCATGCCCCACACACATCCAATTTAGACCCAGTTTCTTACATAAAGCCTAAGTAATGGGTTTTAGTTTATTTAACCTTTTTTTTCCAATCCACTTGGGGCTCTAAGAGGAGGAAGGGCTATACCCACTTCTTTAATCACTGCCTGGAAGGAGGAATAGGGAATAAGAGAAGGGAAGAAAAAAAAATTGGAGGAGCCAAAGGCTTTAATAATCCTAACAGTTCCCTGGGTTATTTAAAATATGCCCAACCAGTTCACAAAAGGCTTCACAGAGATAAATGTATTTGATTTTCTTCCACCTTAATGGCGACATATATTTCAAGCAACAAAACCAGGATGACCTAAATAAAATGACTATTAATTGTACTCAGAAAGGCTCTGAATTTAATGCAACTGACCCAGCCAGAACTCGAATGCACAATATTCTCCTTTCATTCCTCCCACTTTTCTCGGAGGGATTTTCAACTCCTCTCGTTTTCTGCAGGGTAGTCCTGAGCGGTCAGAGATGATCAAACCTGGTGGCAGCCCATCAGCGCTCACACCTTAATGAACAGCCTGAATCTTCTACAGAGCTAAGAAGCAATTCGGTGCCTCTCCGGAGGACAGTAATTTGAATCAGCCACCACAGCTGCTGCCACCGAAATCAGTGAAAACCGAGCTGGAAAGCTGGAATGACTGAAACTGGATGTTTTCTGGGAAACTTCATTTCTGGTCTTGTTCTACAACCCAGATTTGCACGCTGAGCCAAGGCATTTGAAATCAGACCAAAAATTGTAGCTGGTTCCCCTGGAGCCAGCGAAGACCCCACAGTGTCTCTTCACTGCGGGACCACCACACAGGGCCACCGGGGAAGCTCTGGGATCAGGAACGGGACCCAGGACCCAGGACAACCCCCCATAA